AAGGCTGCGGTGGCCGGAAGCGGCCACTGCACTCCAGTCTGGGCGACAGAGTGAGACTCCAACTCAAAATAATAATAATAATAATAATAAACAAGTAAGGCAGAACAGCACTCACACCTCTTCAGTCCGCTTATACACAAGGCGAGGGCGGTAGACACTTTACCTTGTGAACATAGCCAGCCCTCCACCCGCCCCCAGCAGTTCCCAAATAAGGCACTCTGCTCTCCTTTGGAGGACAGAGCTCCCCAGATCCTCCCCTCCAGAATCAAATCTTCAAGGGACTGAAGCTCTCTCTTCTCTTGTAAGTCAAAGATAGCTTTCATTAAATGTATACAGAATACATATATTGATAAGACCTTTACAGATCTGGCTAGATATGGGATCAATCATCACCCCAAGTATCACAGATCCAACCAGTGACCCATCTGAGATTTATAACACACCCCAAATTATCTAACTAAAACAAACTGGTTTGCAAAATAGTAAGCCAGCTGAGCTAAACCGTCTGTCTGCGTCTGCCTTTCATCACTTTGGTCTCAGTTCCCACGTCACCTCCTCGTGAAGGTCTTCCAAGACTACCCTAGATCACGAAGCCCTCTGTCACTCTCTATTCTGTTACTATTTTATTATCTTCTTAGAATCTGTCATTAGTTGAAACTATATTATTGATTTGTTTACTAATTATTTTTTGTTCTCGCTCCGCCCCACCCCACCCTCCACCGCCACTGAAAGTTACGATCCATGAGAATACGGACCTTGCCTCCATTCACCTCTGTCTCCTCGCATATAGAGCAGTTCCTGGCAATCTGAAGCTGATCCACTGACACTTATTAAATGAAAGAAAACATTTTGACACCGCCACCAGGTGCAGATCAGCTAGTAAATGCTACTCAAGCTAAAGATACTTTGTACTGTAATTTTGAGTTGTCTACTAAAGCTGCATAAAACTTTCCTGTGAGCCGGGCTTGGTGGCCCAACCTGTAATCCCACGCCTTGGGAGGCTGAGGTGAGTGGATTTGCCTGAGTCCGTCGGTTCAAGACCCGCCTGGGCAACTTGGTGAGACCTCATCTCTACAATAAATCAAAAAACTAGCCAGGTGTGGTAGCGCATGCCTGTAGTTCCAGCTACTTGGAAGGCTGAGGCAGAAAGATCGCCGGAGCCCAGCAGGTCGAGGCTGTGGTGGCCGGGAGCGGCCACTGCACTCCAGTCTGGGCGACAGAGTGAGATTCCAACTCAAAAAAAAAAAAAAACAAAAAACTTTCCTGTGAAGAGAAAAAGTAGGTAGAAATTGATCCCTGGTCAGATACCTAACATGGCCCATGAGTGTAAGACCAAGTGAGGATGAACTTCAACTGTTTTGTTGTTCTCAGTATATTCTGAATGAAAGAGACTGATGATTAAGAAACATATGCAGCAAATATTAGAGAGAGTAGAACTCTGATAGTTATTTTAATGAAAATTCTAGAGCTCCAAATATGCTGACAACAATTTTAGAAAACTAAGATTGTCACACAGTAAAGGTTAGCTTCTGTCTGAGGCAAAAAACAAACAAAGAAACAAAAGCAAAACAAAACAAAAAAACAAAAAACAAAAACAAACAAACAAAAAAGAAATAGATCCCTATGTGCACCTGACCTGCATTTCAGTCACTCATACCTAGTGTTCCAGGCCAGGTCCCCCAAGAAGTAGACTCTGAGATGGAGATCTGCAAGCAGAATGTGTACTGGGGACTGAGGCAGGGAAGGAAGAAGAAAGGCCAGAAGGAGACGCCGGGCTGCAATACAGTCAGTCGTGATCAAGGCTGCAGCGGGTGCCCCAGGAGAGCTGAAACTGGGCTGGCACTACAGTTAGCCCAAGTGGATGCTAAGGAGCCTTTTTAGCCCTGCCTCTAAACCCCAGGAAGGGGGCATGACCTCGGGCAAGGCAGCTATCTTCAGCCAGGGCAATTCCCAGCTGCCGGGGGAATCCGTCCTTCAGTGCTGCCCAGGACCTCATGTACTCATCATTACTTCATCAAGGGGAAACAGTCACTGAAGCCAAACATGCAGACTTCTAGACATATGGTCCACAATAAACGAAGATCCAGACTTCTGTGACTATAATATAGGACCACTAGTTGGTGTTAATGATGTCTTATACAATATCGCTATTTTTAATAGGAATAAATGAGTCGAAAATCAGGATGGCATTAACCATAACTGAGAGTCAAGCAACACATATATTTTAAAATGCTATTAGAGAGCATAAAATGTTCATGTGTGGCCGGGCTCAGTGGCTCAGCCTGTAATCCCAGCACTTTGGGAGGCCGAGGCGAGTGAGCTGCCTGAGCCCGCTGGTTTGGGACCAGCCTAGGCAACTTGGCGGGACCTTGTCTCTACAATAAGTAATAAATTAGCTGGGCGTGGTAGTGCATGCCTGTAGTTCGGCTACTTGGCTGAGGCGGAAGGATCACCAGAGCCCAGCAGGTCGACGCTGGGGTGGTGGTGAGTGTACCACTGGACTCCAGCCTGGGTGACAGAGTGAGACTTCAACTAAAAAAAAAAAAAAAAAAAAAAAGAGGCCAAGCTCAGGGGCTCAGCCTGTAATCCCAGCACTTTGGGAGGCCAACGTGAGTGAATTGCCTGAGCCCATGGGTTCGAGACCCGCCTGGGCAACTTGGCAGGACCTCATCTCTCTACAATAAATCAAAAATTAGCCGGGTGTGGTAGCGCATGCCTGTAGTTGCAGCTACTTGGAAGGCTGAGGCAGAAGGATCGCCGGAGCCCAGCAGGTCAAGGCTGCGGTGGCTGGGAGCGGCCATTGCACTCCAGTCTGGGTGACAGAGCGAGACTCCAACTCAAAAAAAAAAAAAAGAGTTTTTCAGGTGAAAATCAAAAGGAAACATACATTCTAAACTGAACTACCTATCTGTTATGCCCTACTTAATTTTGAGGATTTTTGAAACACTTTTTAGTTTTAAAATGTTTAAATAAGGCCAGAAAGATGATGTTATCAGGATACTATGAAAACTATGTGGCAGAGGTTATCAATATATCCACTCATCTTGAAAATAAGAAACAAGTTTAGAAACAGATGTACTTGGATGTCTCTCTTTCATCCATCTGATCCAAGAATGTGGAAGAGTTGACGGTGAACACTTACAACTATTGTAATAGAGTACGCATTTCCCAAAGCATGCTCCACAGAATGGCATTCCACAAGTTAGGGGTAGATGTTTTGCATACACACAACTACACAGACAAGATTCCAGAGCCGATGAGCTGAGGGAAAACTGTGTTAAGTTGGTCGAATAAGTATATTTATCACATGACTTCTTAGGGCCTTTATTTAACATTAATTTAATCAATGGCATTCCCTCAACTTAATTTTTCTTGGATAACTACATGAGACACATGCTTCATAGCACACATTTTGGGAAACGGTATTCTAACATTATAAGTTTTATTATAAATACACATCCAAAATATGAAATCATTTGTAATGGCCTATTTTTCATTGACAGTTGTTTTTTGTTTTTTGTCTTTTGTTTTTTTGAGTTGGAGTCTCACTCCATCACCCAGGCTGGAGTGCAGTGGCACGCAGGCTCACAGTCACCCCAGCGTCAACCTGCTGGGCTCCAGCAATCCTTCCACCTCAGCCTTCCAAGTAACCAGAACTACAGGCACGCGCTACCATGCCCAGTTAATTTTTTTCATTTTTATTGTAGAGACGAGGTCTCGTCAAGTTGCCCGGGCTGGTCTCAGACCCGAGGGCTCTGGCAATCCACTCGCCTCGGTTTCCCAAAGTGCTGGGATTACAGGCTGAGCCACTGAGCCTGGCCAACAGCTGAATTATTAAGTGTTCCCCACATTCTCTAGAATGGAAAGGAAAACCTAAGCTCAATGGTGACCAACAAGTTTTCATAGCTGAGATCCTCTCTAGGTCAAATATCATCACACACATATGCACGCGTGCACGCATGCACACACACACACACACACACACACACACACACACAATCATGTAAGAGGACCAAGCAAATACTTAAAAGTCAAATCAGGTCACAGTTCCAGAAGCCCCAACCTGAACCAAGAAGCTCTGGGATATACCTGGATGTTGTAGCAAGTTCGCTGCTGAACGTGTTTCTGCGGCTGGACATCACTCTCTACCCCCAGAGACCTGACCTCTGTCCCTGACGCACAGGTATCAAGCATCGAAAACTGAACAGTAGCAAATGGATACCAATCAGATGGAATTTCTTGGTCTGATCCAAGCTCTAGTTTGTATGACAGGCAATGGGGATGATCAGGACCTCGAGGGAAAAAAAATTAAATAGTTAAAAGATTTCTAGTAGCCCTTGAAATAAAAGGCACATTTCTCCTTAATAAGCAATTTCATTAACACTGTGGCAGAGAAAATTCCATTTAAACAACATACTATCAAAATCCACAATTTTGTACTAACTGGGGGAAGCAGTCTACAATTTTTAAGTACTAGCTTTAAAAGAAGTATGACTTTATTACTATATACATGCATAGATTAACTCCTAAAAATGTTCTCAATGAGAAACATTGCTAAGTTTTCTTTAATTAAAAGATAGGGATAATATTTATGGTAATCATAATTATTTGGCTACAACATACTTAGACCTGTGGAAACCTCTTTCTCTTAAACAACAGCCTCTTATAATAATTCTTTATTTATTTATTTTCTTACTACTGTATTTATAGATAACTTGAAAGTAAACTCCAGCACAAATTAAGTCATATTATTTTTAAAATTCTGATTTTTATGAGTTAAATAATGAAATTTTATTACATTTCAGAAAATATTCCTGGCCAAGAATCCTTTTTTCAGTGGAACAGATTATTTTGTTCTACTGTAATCCTCTCATCCTTCCGAAATGCTTGGACTGGAACAGACGTACAGTGTAGAGGTGGGTGTATTAGCCTTTAATATTTCAATATTTGTTTTGACTCATTTCAATTTGTCATTTAGTGAGCACCTATGCTATTCCAAGCCAGGCTTTGTGCTAGACCCTGGATATTGGATATACTCAAAGATTTCAGGTGGAGGTCAAATAATGTGTGTGTTACAATGGAATAAAAAAGATTTTCACTGTAATCACTCTAGCAACTTTACAAATGTTCCGTGACTCTGTTGCATTTTTCATAGCATCTACATATCCAAGTAGCTATCTTTACTTAAAGTAGTATATGAGATAACAGTCATTTCAAAAGCCAGATTAAATTACTGTACCACCAACATAGCTGGAGAAAGAGTGTTTCCACCAGAATATAGCTTTAGGCACAAAAACAAGAGTTGAAAGGATTCCACTTAATTCTTAAAAGATAAGTTGCCTCTCATTCGGTGCAACCTGTGTCTTGTAGAGAGACTAACAGAATTCTAAAGCCATAAAAGGCCTCGAGAAGTCATCCATCGACTAACCAACAGATGTTCATTAGCCATCTCCACCGCTTACAGGATAGGACAACAGTGGCCTCTGAAGTGCTCTCCACGACCCAGAACACTGCAGGCAAGCGATCACTTCGCTCACATACACACATGCCCTGGAAGATTCCACACTCCATTACCCCTTCTAGTCTTCTGTCTGCGGTGGATAAAGTACGCTCATTTGCACTTAACCCCGCACGCTTCAGTCCTGTTGTGGCAGAGTGGTTGAGAACACAAACACTGGACCCAGATGGCCTAGAACCCAATCCCAGCTCTGCTACTTAACAACTGTGTAATCCTAGACAGGTTGCTTACCTCTCTGAGCCTCAGTTTCTCCATCTGAAAATGAGGGTGGTGATGAACCTTATAAGATTGTCATGAGGAATAAGCAGTTGAGACACACAGAGCACTGAGGCTGTAGTAGTCCAAAGTTGTACAGATAGGCTAGACACTTATTTTGCAAAGTGCTATTTGATTATAAATCTAATATAATTTCATTACTATAATTTTGCTAATAAAGGAACTGTGAATGCTGCATATTTTGAGTTGAAAATGAAATGGGAGGTAATCTGATTTGATACAATTTAGAGTTTTAAAACACTGGGAAAGCTTTCCATGAAAATTGAGAAAAAAAATTAAACCGAAGTTGAAGACCTAGTGCTCCAAACATGTTAGAAACAACAACTTTACACCTGTTTTTCTTAAAAAATGGTAAAAGAGAACATTTTTCCTTCCAAGTATTCCAGTTTATTTTGCTTGGTTTTTAAAAACATGTTATACTCTACTATGTTTAATAATACACTCCCTCTTTAGACTTTGCACCCTGTAAGAAGAGATATATCTGTTTCTCACACAATGTCTGACACGTTTGTGGCTTAATGGTTGTCTGTCCAATTCAAGAATAAGATAGCGAAAATCACGTTGACCGCCAGGGGGCACGCTCGAGCTTTGGAAATTGTTATTCCTCCTTTTCACAGGACGGGAATGCGGTCATAAAATTTTAGGTCTAGCTGCTATCTCGTCCCTCTTGAACCAAACCGTTTTGCAACTGAAACTGAATTGTTGAGGGTTGAAGGGAATGAGTGGTGGGAGGATAACATCAGTGGAAGGAGAGCGAGCAGTCAATGCGCTGATGACAGAGAGCAAAGCAAAAAAGAGAGAGGTGGCCGGGAGCGGGGGCTCACACCTATAACCCCAGCACGTTGGAAGGCTGAGGTAAGAGGATTGCCTGAGCGCATGGGTTTGAGACCAGCCTGGGCAACTTGGCGAGACCTTGTCTCTACACTAAATCAAAAAATTAGCCAGGCACGGTGGCTCATGCCTGTAGTTCCAGATAGTAGGAAGGCTGAAGCGGAAGGATTGCCTGAGCCCAGCAGGTTGAGGCTGCCCTGGCGGTGAATGTGCCACTGCACTCCAACCCGGACCAGAGTGAGACTCCAGCTCAAAAAGAAAAGAAAAGAAGGAAAGAAAAATTGATAAGTTAGAGAGATAGCTAAATTTAATCACTTCTTCACCTCTCTCATTCCCCTTTCTAATTCTGTGCCACCATGTATGTGCTTGGCTAACCAGAGTCCTCATTTGTCTCAACTCTCTTCCTTTCTCTCTCTCTCTCCCTTCCCCAACAAGGTCTAAACTCCTCCATGGTCATTCACACTTTAGTATGAATAAAGTCTAGGAGCTACTACCCCAGGCCAACCTTTGCTGTAAAACGAAAGACTTGCCCACTGTTAAAGGAATATTTAGCATCCATATTAAAAGGGATATTTGCCAGGCTTGGTGGCTCAGCCTGTAATCCCGCGCTTTGGGAGGCTGAGGCGAGTGAATTGCCCGAGCCTGTGGGTTCAAGACCCACCTGGGCAACTTGGTGAGACCTCATCTCTACAATAAATAAAAAATTAGCGGGGCATGGTAGTGCGCGCCTGTAGTTCCGGCTACTCGGAAGGCTTAGGCAGAAGGATCGCCGGAGCCCAGCAGGTCGAGGCTGCAGTGGCCGGGAGTAGCCACTGCACTCCAGTCTGGGCAACAGAGTCAGACTCCAACTCAAAAAGAAAAAGGGGGGGGACATTTAAGGCACCAGCAGCTCTTCCCACCTCTGAAAGCACAGGAAAGTGATTTCACCAATAAAAAACGGTCAATCTTGATCTCAGAAATTACCAGAAAGGAAAAAAAATTATAATTAAACTATATAGTCTCTTTCAGTTTTCATTTTTGAAATTTTTTTCTAATATTCAGGTTTTTCAGAAACTATCTTGAATATCTAATATTCAGGTTTTTCAGAAACATTTTAAAAAGCTCTTAAAAAAATGTCCTGTCCTCTAGAAGCACAACTGACCTAAAAATTCTATGGAAAATAGAGATGCATTCTGGGACCCTGCTACTTTAAGTGTATTCCTTGTGGCAGGTACTGGCATCACTTGAGTGCTTGTTAGCAACACAGTATCCCGGTATCCAGGTGGCACCTGCAGAATCAGAATCTACATTGTAGCAAGGTGATTCCTGGGCACACACAGGTTGAGAAGCACAAAGATGTCCTGGCAGGGCAAGGATTTCTCCACCGCCCCCACCTTACTCTTTCCATGCTTCTTCTCAGTGGGGTAAGGAGACAATCGCAGATTCTTCGCAGAGGAGGCTGTAGCCTGCCTGGGCACCCTCTCACTCTCTGCACTACCCTCTCACCCATGAATGGAAAAGCCTAGGGCAGGACCCTGTGATCTCAGAAATATCCTGCTCCAAACCCGGCTCAGAGGTCCACCCTGCCCCCTGGATTCGATCTGACACAGCCCCAGGGTCTCCTCCCTGCACACAGCCTTGATCTCAGCAAAGTAGTTTTGATCCCAAAGGATTTGTTCAGTGAATGTCACTGTAAAATGGACTGAAATACTTGTAAAACATGGATTTGTGTGAGCCTGGTGCTGTGACAGTCTTCCAAATGAATTCCTGGAGGCCAAGATCAAGTCCAACCAGCTTCTCTGGGAATGTCCACTCTTGTCACTCTGGGTGGGTTCAACTGCTAGTAAATATCAATGGGAGGGTAACAGCGGAGCTCTAGAAGACACAGGGATACACAGCGGAGCTCTAGAAGACACAGGGATACACAGAACAGGGAGGAATGGTCACTGCCGAGGGACCAGAACAGGTGTCAGAACAGGAGGGTGATCGGATCAGTCATTTTCAACCTGGATGCATGGGGGAATCTTTATATACACCAACACCTGGGTCTCACCCCAGGAGAGTCAGACTGGTAAAGGATGAAGCCTAAATATGAGTATGTGCTTGAAGCTTTAATGATTCTAACATGTGGCCATTGGCTAAGCGCAGTGGCTCACACCTATGATCCCAGCATTTTGGAAAGCCGAGGCAGGAGGATCACTTGGACCCAGGAGTTCGAGACCAGCCTGGACAGTACAGTGAGACCTCATCTTTACAAAAAATATCTTAATGATCCTAACATATGGCCAGTGGCTGGGCGCAGTGGCTCATGCCTGTAACCTCAGCACTTTGGGAGGCCAATGTGGGAGGATCGCTTGAGGCCGAGTGTTTGAGACCAGCCTGGGCAACATAGCAAGACCCCCATCTCTGAAAAAAAAAAAAAAAAGGAAGCAAGTTGGTTTCACAGGGAGTGTCTGTGTTGTCCTGAATTTACTGAAGAGCTTACACGAGGAAGAAGGTTCTGAGAGAGCATTTCTTCTGTTAAAAGAAGTGAAAGAATGAACTCTGTCCCCTAGGAGAGGAAAGTCACAGAGCCCTTAGGAGTTGCCTGAAACCTCTATCGAGTC